TACTATTTTATATCAGGAGGAAACTTCTGGTTAAGCCACTGTTACAGGTTTTCTGTCCGCTCTCAGCAAAACCTAATCCTGACTAATCACAGTTTTGATATCTGGAATTGCACACGAAGTAACAGAAGCTAAAATAGTGTGTGTGAGCTTAGTGAAGGAGGTTGGGTGTCAGGAAGCATGGACACAGGTACGTGTGGGCTGGAAAGCGTATGATTCTTGTATGGAGCATCCTCACATTTTCTCCCTCTTCCATTCCAGACTATTTTCTTTATGTTTTATTTTCAGTCCCTCTCCTGGCCTTTGCATTATTTACTAATCTTAAATTTCTTGATATTACCTTATTAATACACTAATAATGTTTAAATAGACTTACTCTCGTAGCTGTTTCCTCTCTTGGTTGTCTTAGCTCCATTCCCTTCAGTATCAAAATTCATGCATTCATTGCTTTGCGGAATCTCATTCCTGAAGGGAGAATTTCAGACAGCTGGTAAATTTAGTCATTCAAAGCTTTAAAGTAAATTCATATTACAAAACCAACCACTTTATTTGCATTGTTTCCCGATGGAACAGTTCAGTGATAACACTCATTACCTATTTTGACAACCAAGAAGTTGACATTAGCCAGAGATGGTTGCTAACACAATAGTTATCTGTCCTAACTCATTTCTTTGAAATCATTGTACTTCCAGACCATTGTTTCTCTCTCTTTCCTGAATCCCCTAGGTCCTATAAAACACATGTCATCAGATTACACCATCTACTGTCTCTCAGTTGTCTATATCATCCATACCCGAAAGATACTCCCCTAATATTTTAATACTTATAGAGTTTAATAGATGGCTCAATACCTCTTTCACCACTCTTGCCATAATTCTTAGTGATTCCAATACCCATTGAACAATCCTTCCAATACTCAGACCTCTCAATTTTTTGAATGCCTGACCTCTAATGATTTTTTTCCTCCATCTGACCTCGGCTGTCAGTTCCCATGGTTACATCACAGACCTGGCCATCATCAATAACTGGCACTTCTCCACGGTTTCCATTCCAAGCATCCCATTCTCTAATCACCAACTCCTATATTTCCTGCTTACTTTCTCTAAGATACCCTACAACAATTCTTTAACTCCCTCGGGTCTCCATTCTATTCCATTCTATCCTGCCAACCTTTCATTCCATTGCAGCACCTTTAGCCTCCGTTGCAGTGAGGTATTACAAACCACAGTTCCTTGCTTACCCAGCTTAGTTTCCACTGTACAATATTATAAATCACATTCTTGTAAACACTCTTAACTCCCTTGCTGCGGTCTCCATCACACTTGTCTAGTAATACCCCAATCCAAGTTAGATACTACTCTCTGTCTACTCTGTGCCTGCACACAAGTGGCTGAACACGACTGGCCCTGTTTACCATCACTCCCAATGACCCACTTGAGGGGTTTGTGCTGCCTGCCTCTGGAACTGTGGGCTTCAGCAAACTTCTTTACGTGTTGCACCCTAGGTGCCTCTGTTGCCCTGGTGTACACCATGGTGTACCATCCAGACCTCCCCTCCAGAGCTGTCCTGAATCCGGGCCAGGAGCACTAACATTCCTTTATCCACCAATCACTGGATGTAGGTGGCCCAGGGAGCAGGTATGACTTTAAGCCAGGCAGCTCTCATGAGCCAAGGGCAGGTCTGTGAGAGACTGAGCAGGAGCTGTCAACCACCAACACTCTCTGCTGCTGGGGGCATAAGTGCACAGGCTGTTCTAAGCAAGCTGCTCCCTCCTCAGGGCCTTTGTACTTCCTTTTCCTTCTGTTTGTATATTCTTTTCCTAGGTTTCCAAAGGATGCACTTCTTCACTTCCCTTAGGCCTTTGCTCAAGCATCTGGTTGCCAGAGAGGTCTTCCCTAACAGCTGTGTTCTCTCCTATCACTCGTTTTTCTTCATAACATTTAGCAACACTCGACATATTTTATTACTTTAGCTGCTTAGTTTGGCCTTCCTTTGCTAGAGTACATGCTCCAAGAGGACAGGGTTCCGGTTTGTTTGTATTTCCCATGTCCTGAATAGTTCCTTGTCTTCATTAGGTCCTCAATATGTCAATATATATTCGTTCGGTGCAAAAATTGAAATGCCTTAAATTCGTAGTAGTCAGCTTACGAGGCAGAGCAGTTTAGTGGAAGGAGTTTAGGGTTTTGGAGTTAGACTGATATTTGAAAACACCTTTATTTAGATATAAGTAGCATGTAATAAACTGCACATATTTAAGACATATTTGGACATATATATACACTCAAAGTCACCACCACAGTTCAGATAATGAGCATGTTCTTCATCCCCAAGAGTTTCCTCTTACACTTTTGTAATCCCTCCTTCCTGCCATTCTCCATCCCCAGGCAGTCACTGATTTGCTTTCTGTTTTTAAGAGTAGTTTGCATTTTCTAGAAATTTATATAATTGGATCAAACCATCTGTATTCTTTTTTGTGTCTGACTTTTTTTAGATTCATCCATGTTTTTGTGTGTTCCTTTTCTTGCTGGGAAATTTTTCATTTGTTTTTCATTTGTTTATTGGCTGACAGACATTTGGTTTGCTTATAGTTTGGGGATTATTAAAAATAATGCTACTGTGAATATTCATGTATGTTTTTGTATGGACATATGCTTTCTTTTTTTTTTTTTTTTTTTTTTTGAGTCAGTACCTATGAGTGAAATGGTGAGGTACGTGTTTAACTTTTTAAGAAACAGCCAAATTATTTTCCAAAATGATTGTACCATTTTTCATTCTTATCAGGTATGAGATTTCTGGTTGTTGCACATCCTTGCCAGCGCTTAGTATACATAGCATTTCTAATTTTATTATTTGTTATTTATTTGTTATTTGAGACAAGGTCTCATTCTATTGCCCAGGCTAGGGTACGGTGGTGCAATCATGGCTCACTGCAGCCTTGACCTCCTGAGTTCAAGTGATCCTCCCACCTCAACCTCCCAAGTAGCTGACACTACAGGCACGTGGCACCATATCCAACTAGTTTTTTAAAATTTTTTGTACAGACAGGGTTCCGCGATGTTGCCCAGGCTGTTCTCTAAACCCCTGACCTCAAGTGATCCTCTTGTTTCGGTCTCTCAAAGTGCTGGGATTACAGGCATAGTGACTATGACCAACTTCTAATTTTAGACACCCAATAAGTATGTAGTGGTATCTCACTGTGATTTTAATTTGCATTCTGTGGGCCAGGCGCAATGGCTCATGCTCATAATCCCAGCACTCTGAGAGGCCAAGGTGGCCAGATGGCTTGAGCTCAGGAGTTTGAGACCAGCCTGGGCAACATAGTGGAACTCCATCTCTACAAAGAATACAAAAATTAGCCAGGTGTGGTGGTGCACACCTGTGGTCCCAGCTACTGAGGAGGCTGAAGTGGGAGGATCATTAGAGCCTGGGAGGTCCAGGCTGCAGTGAGTTGTGATTGCGCCACTACATTCCAGGTTCGGTGACAGAATGAGACCCTGTCTCCAAAAAAAAAAAAAAAAAGCTATTTTGCATTCTGCTAATGACTAGTGATGTTGAGGATTTTTTCCATGCCTTTATTTTCCATGAGTATGTCTTCTTTTGTGAAGTGTTTGTTCATATCTTTTGCCCATTTTATAGTGAGTTGTTTTCTTATTACTAGATTTTGAGAATACACACACACACACACACACAGAATATAAGTCCTTTATAAGATACATATTTTCCCCCAGTCTGTGGCTTATTTTTTCATTCCCTTAACAGTGCAGAAATTCTTCATTTTAATGAAGTTCAATTTATCAAATTTTAAAAGTGGATTCTGCTTTTAGTGTTGTATATAAGAAATCTTTGCCTAACCCAACATCACAAAGATTTTCTTTTATGGTTTTTTTTTTTCTGGACATTTTATAGTTTCAGGTGCTACATTTAGATCTATGATCCATTTTGAGTTCATATTTTAATATGGTGTAAGGTACGAATCAAAGTTTATGTTTTCTGCATGTGGTTATCCAGTTGTTCCAGCACCATCTGTTGAAACGTCTATTCTTCCTCCTTTGGATTGCCTTGTATCTTTGTTGAAAATCAATTATCTATATATGCGTGGGTTTATTTTTGGACTCTCTGTCCCATTGATCTATTTATCTATCTTCATGCCAATACCACCCAGTCTCTATTTTATTTTAGCTTTATAGTAAATCTTAAAGTCAGGGAGGGTAAATGCAGTTCTTTTCCCTTTTTTGTAATTCTATCTTGGTTGAAAGTAGAGATCAGACTGATGCATTTTAACTCTAGTTCGATCATTTAATTCTTGTATGATTTCAGACAAGCCAATTAATTATGTTTATTTCATTTATTTATCTGTTCACTGTTAAAATTTTACACTGTAATTCTTAGATTAAATGCTAATTATTATTAAAAGCATGAACTAGGAAGACAGCTCTGGAAATAAAAGAAACTAGCCAGGCACAGTGATGCATATCTGTAGTCTTAGCTACTCAGGAGGCAGAGGTGGGAGGATTGCTTGAGCCCACGAGTTGGAGGCTGCTTGGCAAACTAGCAGGACCCTGTCTCTGAAAAAATGAAAGAGAAAAAAAAAGGTACTGGAACTGCAGGGTGGTATGGGAGATGGGTAAATGTAACGTGCTCACCAGGGACCTCTCACTTTCTTTCTCAGTACAGACACACGCTCCTGCCCTTTCATATTCCATGTTGAAGTTTGACAGCAAATTCTTCCTGACAGTAGGACTAATCACTCACTTTGAAGTAAAAGAACAACAACAAATAAAGGTGAAAAAGAAAAATAAAACTGGTCAGCATCCCCGAGTCTAAAATAATTACTCTACCACATCAACAATTTTCTGTGCAGCTTTCTAACGTTTTTATTTAGACAGAAATTGTTTTAAAAAGAAGGTTACTTTGAAACCAAGGTTACAGTAGCTTTTTGGCCTGCTTGGCGTGGCTTTCTCCAACTCTCTTCTTCTCAGTTTTTGCAATACCTGTCCCTGCCAGTCTCCAAGTGTCCCTAGTTACAGGTCAGCTCCACACTGAAGGGGAGGAGCTACTTCCTAGGGTGTCTTCCCAGCATCACAGCCCCACATCCCAGCGACCAACGGTGTTGTACTCCAGGGGGCCAAAGAGGACCCTGATTGCTTTGTTTTGTGCCATGTGAGTACTATGTCCAACAGGATGGCTGGTGGACGGGAGACATGTTTGACTTTGATTGGATTCCTTCTTATCTGTATGAAAATGGTGAGTTCATCATTCCGACTGCCCGCAACTATTTAGGGGAAAAAGAAAGACATTATTTTTCTCTCCTTTTTTTTTTTTTTTTTTTTTTTTTTTTGAGGAGTTGGGGAATGGGGAGATAGAAATCGAAATACTTTTCAAAAGTTCGTACCCAGGTTGTATATGTTTGCGTGTTTGAAATTTAATGCCATATACTAGAGAAAGAAAACAAGATTATCATTATATTTTAAGAACAAAGATTTCTGAAAAATCTGTCAGCAGCTACTGACTTAGTTCAATAGGCAGATTCAAAGGGGAAAGAAATGAAATAGTAACGGGATCTGCCTCCAGCCTCAAAATTCCAGTTAGAGTTGCTTTCCGGTAGATTGGGGTGCTGGGAAACGATTTGTGTAGAGAAATACTTGTATGGATCGAAAGACTGCTCACATTAGGTATAAAAATGTTGTGATTAATTTATTACCGCTTTTATTCCTGTTTTACGTTTGTCCAAGTGGTGTTTTTCTGTATGGTTCTAATTTTCTAAACTTTCCTTTTCAGGTTGCTTCAGCAAAATCAGGTACAATTTTCTGACATGAAAGTTTTTCCTCTTTGTATTTGATTTTAATTTCCATTGTTAATTTACGGGCTACCCTGAAATCTAAAGGCTCTATGAGAAAAAAAAAATTCAATATTTTCTGAGCACTCACACTGGGTGCTAAGCACTATACTGGGTCCTGGGGAGTTGATAATTGGTAAGACAAATAAATGGATTGAACTTGAAAGACAAATCTTCAGAAAGTGTTCTTGCTGGGTACTGTAATGTATAGAGTCATGTAGGCATGCATTTTCTCATATACAGTTAGCCATGTGTGAAATATTACAACGATCATCTTTCTAGCTAAGATATTGTACAGAGTCTAATTTATATAAATGTTCTTGTTTATGTTCCGGGGAATTAGAGGAAAAATGAGAAATGCTATCTTTGATTAAATTGGCAATATTCCCTGCTTTAAAAAGGATTTTATACTTCTAATATTGCATATTTAAAATATAGACATCAGTCACTCAGGGCTGAAAGGGGGCCCTCTTTTAAAAATATTTGATCTCCATCTTTCTTAAGTAGATAACTGAAGGCAAAAATAATTTATCTAGAGGCCCTTCCTAGCTCATTTGTGCTAGAAATCTAAATACCTGGAATGGAAATTTATTTTTAGGAGGATTTAGCTTATCTCTAGGAACCACATAATATCAACCATATCACCAATAAACTCTCATAGTGATTCGACATAAATTAGAAAAATTTGCATTTATTATTTTGTCTACACTACAGAAAAAGAAGTGAAATCAAGACAGTTAAAAAATTTGATATAGATGCATGTCTGAGCCATGAAATTTCATAAAATTCATATATATACAGTAAGTTTTTAAAAACTTCTATTTCCTGGCCAGGTACCAAGGCTCATGCCTATAATCTCAGCACTTTGGGAAGCCAAGATGGGAGGATTGATTGCTTGAGCCCAGGATTTCAATACCAGCCTGGGCGACATAGCAACACCCCATCTCTTTAAAAAATTATTATTTCTTGCTTTATTCTTATTTACTTGTCTTATTCTTGAGAGATCTTTAGGATTAGCCAGGAAACTATAGGAAGGACTGTTTGGCTATACACAAAGTGGCTTTTTAAATAAGTGGCCTTTGGGTGGACTAAATCTAACTCTGCCGTCTCTTACAAGGTCCCAGCACACCCAGGACACATCAAGCCCTCAGAACAGGACCCTTTTTGGTCCTCACAGCATCTGCCCTATTCTAGAGAAATGGTGGGTCAGGCTAAGCTAGTGATGCTGCTGCTAATTGACTCAATTCCTAATTGAGTCCTGGCTTTTCATTAGATGGAATGTGTATTAGCTACACTGTATAGAAGGTTTTATTTTTTGTGTGTGTATTTTGATTCTCTTTGGGCTCTGGTATTGCTGTGTATCTGTGTCTGGTCACTGGGGCCTCATGGGCTAATTTAGATCTCTTTGAGCTGGTGGAATGCACAGACGCTGAGAACCAAGGGGTTTCATTTTTGACTGATCAGAGTGGTTGGTTGTACATCTAGGGAATAAAGTTTTCTCTTTCATCAGTCCAGTCAGTGGGCTAACCATAGAATTAAGGAAGAGTAAGGAACTGCTGCTACTTTATGGACTTTACACTCAAGTTTCTCATCTATTAAAGGGCAACATACTACATAGGGGTTGATCTTCTTTCATTGTTGATGCTGGTCAGAGCCTGCCCTAAAACCAGGAGTAAAACAGACAATCTGTCTCTCCAGCCTGTGTTTGCCCCACACTCCTCAGAATCCCATTTTCACAGGACCTCTCCACAGCGGTGCCATATGGTCTGGCTTTTCCAAACCCATCAAAATTTACTTGTCTTGGCTCATACACAAACATACACACACACACTTTCCAAGTGCCCTAACACACACTATTTCATTTAATCTTTACAACAATCCTAAAATGCAGGTATTTTAAATTTCAAAGTAAATCCTAATATGTAGGTATTAATAATCCGTATTTGTCAAGGAAGGTAACAAGTCTAGAAGAGGTACAATGACTTGCATGCCTTCACACACAAAAGTAAATAGCAGGGCCAGGGCTCAAACCCAGAGCTCCTGAATCCAAACCCTTTGCTATTTTCCCACTACACAACCCTGAGTTTCATTCTGTGATACTGGCTTCCTGCATTATGACTTCCAAGCAAATGTGCCTCTCCTAGATCAATTCCATGAGACCAGTTTTGTGAAGCCCTCGGGCCCTGTGACAGGCCTGTGGGGAGAGGGTCTGTGTCATGCTAGCCTTTTAGATGCCTTTCAAACCACTCCGTGAATGCATGATCCGGCCTCCTGTGTCTGTGGCTAGTTTGGTTGTCATTTTCCAGGAAGTTAGTTCATTCCAATGAACAGAACTGGTAACATAGGAGATAAGATTAACGGTGGGGACAGAGGAAACAGAAGATGTTGAGAGATACCAGAAAACTAGAGGAAAGAAGGCATATAGCACAGGATCATTAGCTGGGGGAGCAGAAGAGGGGTGTGTGTGTGTGTGTGTGTGTGTGTGTGTGTGTGTGTGTGTTGGAAGAGGGAGCCCCTGCTGGGACTTTCCGTTCTGCAGGAGAGAGACGGAACGTAGCCCTTTCCTATGGAATTGGCTTCCACTGGCAAGTGGCTATGACAAGCAGGCCTGAGACTTTCCCCCAGTGTATATAACTGAGACTTTCCCCCAGTGTATATAACTGAGACTTTCCCCCAGTGTATATAACTGAGACTTTCCCCCAGTGTATATAACTGTCATAATTTTCTTTCAATGGCAAAAGAGACTATCCTGGGTGATGTTCAAGGAATGTCTGGCCAGGGCACAGAGGAGACTTTGTTCATTTTTGCAGCATGGTTATTTCTGAGATGCTGCCAAAGCTAACTCTCTGGGCTATTGGTACAGAAAGAGAAAGTTGTCTGCATCGTGCACATAGGGACTTGGCTCTGGGAGAAGGGGAGCTGATATTGGAGAATCACCTGTCTTTACTCCTTCTCCCTCTTTGCCCTATAGTTCTGCTTGTTTGTCTTCCCTTTAGTTTTAGTTTTGTCAAATTCCCTATATTTGACATATAGTGATTTTACCCAGCAAGTGGAGTACATTAAACCTGAAAGGCCAAGTGCCAGTTGCAAATAAAGCCCAGCTATTTTTGTTTGACCTTTTCTTCCACTTGGATCTCCTATATCCAAGACATTTTTGCATCTATGGAATTTTGTAAAATAGTCAATCTGAGGACTGTGCTATAGCTCCTACTCCATACTCCTGAGTGTAGGAATGCCTTGTGTAAACCCATGACATAAGCATTCATATCTCCCTGGCAAACCATAGCCTGGCCCATCGCATTCTTATGCTGAGGCAGATATTGTGATAGAGAAAGGGAGAATAAAGTTTACTTTTATTTTGTATGGAAGAATCTGAGAATTATTCCACTCTGATAATATGAAAGAAAGTGCTATGGAGTAATTATAACAAAGAACTCGATCCTCCCTCCTTCCTCCATTGGATTAAATGTTATCTGGAAAACGTGCAAAGTGCATGAGAGAGTGACCACAGCCATGGGGCACAGGCAGGAGGAATGGAGATGAGTCCAGCTGGAGGCAGTGGGATGGCTGTGGGACCCAGAGGGGAGATCAATGGCAAAGCAGCCTACAAAATTCACAGAATGCCCAACTGGAGTAGAATCCTCTGGAAGAAAGCCTCTCAATTATTCTCTCTGTCTTCCCAGAGTTCTTTCCCGTAATTACTTCCCATTCTTATTTAGCTCTTTTAAAAGTACAAAAAGTGCAAATTACCCCACAGGCACCTGGGGAAAACTTTGAAATACCATCCCCGAGTGAGAGGTTTGAGCTTTCTGGATCTCTTCTGGAGAGTAGCTTTGTCTTTCTTTTTCTCTGTTTTTCCTTGATCTGGATAATAAGGGCAAAGCTTATGTCTGAAGGAAAGCATGAGAATGATTTAGCTTGAAGAATAAAATGATGAAAGAAGTCATCCTTGTAGGTATCTTGGCTAATGTACAACTCTAAAACCTCTTTCAGCTCCTGAAATACCCACTATTGATCAGGCATATTCAAAAATCAGCAACAGTATCACTGTAGAATGGGCTACAGTGCCGGGTGCCACCAGTTACCTCCTCACAGCTGAAGACGGGGACACAGTCATTGAAACAATGGTGGCCAATTCCCCAGGCACTGTGACGGGACTAAAGGCTGCAACCTTGTATGAAATCACCATCAGATCCATCAGTGCTGCTGGGAGAAGCCAGGCATCACCTCCAAAGCAGGCAAAGACAGGTAGCTTGATGGATGCTCATCCTCCGTTGAGTGTTTGCTTGTGACTTGGATCAGTTATTCTGGTGCTGCAAATGCAGAATGTGATTTGGTGTCACATGAGTGCCTACAATTCAAGGCCCAGAAGTGAAAGCTACCAAATGATGCTGTTTGAGAATTCAGCTATCTGTGGAGGAGGTGGCATTTAAATGCCAGATGCTTTGCTTTGGAAAATAAAGCCCATTTCTGGGCATCTTTAAAAGCATCCCAGCTTTTAAATCTCTGAAATAGGGATTTCTGGTTTTAACATGCCAAATGAAGAACACAGAGAAGGGATTTTGCTGCACTCTGACCATATGGCATATATGTTAACAAAACAAATAAAAGCATTTGGAGTTTGTCATCAGCATTACTGAAATTGATTTGATAAATTTGTACCTAGGCATATTTCTGAAAAGTTATGTGCACGTTAAAATAGTGTAACCCCTCATTTTCCCATTGATTTTTATTATGATTATAGGAATGTTTGATCTAATTTCTGACCAACTTCAGTTAAAAGTAGTGTCTGATATTTAGCGTTTCTCTGTTTCCCATTCCTCTGCCAAGTTATTTATGGTTAGTATACACTTAAATAGCAATTGTTTAATGAAACTTTGTTGTGAATGCTCTTATAAAGTAAATAATTATTGTATATTATGGATATCAATTTACTTGCTTCTAAATTTGAATTATCCTCTATTGGACTTTGGTAACACAAATGCATGTTTTTATTTTTTTAGTGTTGGCTGCACCAATTCTTGAAGTAAGCTCTCCAAGTTCAGACTCCATTCTTGTGCAGTGGGAAGCTGTATATATGGCAATTGGATTCTCTGTGTCCATTATGCAAGCCAATGGCTTGGGGAGTATATGGAAAGAGAATACTACAAACACCTCCTTGACATTCACCAGTTTAGAAGCCGGGACTCTCTACACCATAAAGGCCTATGCATGGAATGCCAACGGAATCCCTGGGGACGACTCCACCTGCAATCAAAGAACAAGTAAGAACTTCTCAGCTCAGCCTCGAACAATTTTACTTTTGATTAACGTGGGGGGCTGTGCGTTGCAGCCATCAAGAGTAGTGTTACATGACAAGTACAGAGCAGCTGGCAGCAGCTATTTAAATTTATTATGAAGTTATTTATAGTGCCTTGTCTATTCCTCCTCGGTAGTTTAAATGCTTCCTGCATGGATAAAGAAATGCTACTCAGAATGCACACAGCATGGCACCACCCTCTAATATCCAACTCAATTTCAGCATTCACATTCGACATCACACAGAAGAAGGTGATTCTTGTTAGGTTTACCCATCACCCCTTGTCCCTTTCTGGGTTCAGGCCAATTAGTATAAGAATTGGGCCAAATAGGAATTCATTTGTTCTGCAGATACTGAGTGACAGTGTGCCAACTTTGAGCTGGCATTGTTCTAGAGATATGGCAGCAAGCAGAGCAAGGTTTCTGCAGGCACAGGATGCTGTAAGGATCCTGCAGTGGAATTAGTGTTTCAGATCTGTTTCCCAAAGGCCTCAGCTTGGGCCTGAAGTCAGCATGGGGCTTCCCACTACTGCTCCTCCAGCTGTGGGAAGAAGCTGGAGCTTGCTGTGCGTTTTCTCACCGTCCCACCCAGAGGTCCCCCAAGCAGAGGATACCCTGCAGCATTACAACTGGAGGTCCAAATTGAGCTGCTGGAGTGAGCCGAGAGAGAGAGAGAGAGAGAGAGAGAGTGTGTGTGTTTTCTTTTCTTGAGGCAGAGTAAGCCATCCACTGGCAATGTAACCTAAATAGACACAAGACTCTCACCAACCAGATTAGCTGTTTCACCACTTGGGAAGGACGCAGGAAAGGAAGGAAAGAAACCAGAAATGTTCTCTCCAACTTTCCCTAAGTTTGGAGGGGAATGGAAGCCCCGTAGTCTATGGGCCAAGGCAGAATGTAGGGAGAAGAGAGGGGTTTGCCGCCTTTTATACTATTTCCCTAGGAAGGTTGTATAATAATAGCCCTGAGGTGATTCATGACAGGCTTGGTGAGTCAGGATGTCTGTGACAAGTCAGTCTCCTTGGGCCTTTTCCTAGGCTGGCTGGCTTTCCTTCTTCCCTCCTTCCCTTATCTTCCCTTCCCATCCTTCCCTTTCCTTTCCCTTTCACACTGCTTTTTTCTTTCCACATTTGTTAAGGGCCCACTGTGTGCTGGGCATAGGTTAGCTGATGGGAATACAAAAGCAAATAAAGCATGATCCCTCCGTTCAAAGAATGGATTATGTCAAAGGAGAGACCAGTGGTGAGTCAGCGTTTCCAGTTTCACCTGATCAGTGCTTTGGCAGAAGGCTGCAAACACAGCGAGGCACAGGAGGGAGCATCTTCATCAGGCTGGGGCAGTGAGACAGCATCCCCTAGAATAACTTGCTTCTTAAAGACTTCCCCTTCATAGGTTTACCCATGTTTTACAAAGCTCTACAGAGTTTAGATTTCGCCTCTGGATTAGTTTCCTCGGGCTGCTGGAACCACAAACTGGGTGGCTTGAACAATAGCAATGTTTGGTTTCCTGGTTCTGAAGGCTACGAAGTCTGAAATCAAGGTGTCGGCTAGGTTGGTTCCTTCGGGGGGATGTGAGGAAGAGTCTGTTCCAGGCCTCTCTCCTTGGCTTGTAGATGGTTATCTTCACATTCACATGGAATTTTTCCTATATATGTTTATCTGTGTCCAAATTTCTTCTTTTTATAAGGAAATCAGCCATATTGGATGAGGGCCCACCCTAATGATTGCATCTTACCTGATTACATCTGCTATGACCCTATTTCCAAATAAAGCGACATTCTGAGGGTACTATGGGTAAGAACTTCAACATATGAACTGGGAGGGAACCCAAGTCAACTCATTACAGGCTCTCACTACTTTACCTATTTTTCCTAGTTCTCCCATGCTCCCTGTGGGAAAAGCAAGTTGCCCTAAAACACTGCAGGCTACCCCTACCAGCCTTGGGCCCAGCACTTCCCTAAAGCAGACCTGCCTCTGCAGACAAGCTGACCATGTAGTGGGAAGGGGCCTGTCGAGATGGCCCACGGGAAAAACATGGCAGGTGCCTGCCTTACAGAGAATGAGTTAGGTCCTCATGTCCTCAAAGAGGCCTTCCCAGCTGGACGTGGTGGCTCACACCTGTAATCACAGCACTTTGGGAGGCCGAGGCAGGTGGATCACAAGGTCAGGAGATTGAGACCATTCTGGCTAACATGGTGAGACCTCGTCTCTACTTAAAATACAAAAAATTAGCTGGGCGTGGTGGCAGGCGCCTGTAGTCCCAGCTACTCAGGAGGCTGAGGCAGGAGAATGGCGTGAACCCGGGAGGCAGAGGTTGCAGTGAGCGGAGATTGTGCCACTGCACTCCAGCCTGGACAACAGAGCGAGACCCCGTCTCAAAAAAAAAAAAAAAAAAAGGCCTTCCCTGTTTGCCCCAGGCATGTCCAGAGGATGCTGGTCTCTGCTCACAGACTGTTTAAGCAGTTTCCTAAGGCCTGCTGCTTGGGCGTTATTACAGCACAGATTCCAAAGAACTGAGGCCAATTTCTTCCCTCCCCAGGCCAGGACACCTCCTTATGCTTTTTAATGTGGTAAGTCTTAAGAAAGGAAGGCATATGTACAAGAATGTAGGGTTAAGTGTTTTGGAGACACTAAAAGACTGCCTTAATATGTATGCATCACACTTGATACCTTCCTTCCTTCCTTTTGATGGTGAATGGAAAGAAAATCTGCTCCTCTAGAAACGATTATGACCGAAAAGCTATTGCAGTAAAAGTTGTAGCAGATGTCAAAAGTAAAGAAGGGATATGTTCAGTTTCATTGATCAATAACAGAAGATATTTGACCTTTCACTTAATAATAACATACCCACGTGGCCCTTTTAGTTCTTCCCATTAATAATTTCATTTAATTATTTTAACTACTTATTAAATAATGCCTTAATCCATTCAAAATATGTCTTTTATCACCTATAGGTGTTAGACATGGATCTTGTTAGATCTATTTATATATGAGAAAAAATTAAATTACAAAAAAGGGTAAACAATATGGCCAATGCCACACAGTTTATTATGAGTTTGCATAGTAGCAGATGTATTACCAGTTCCCAGGCATCATCCTAAATCCCAATTTTATGCTTTGGACACTTGGTAATTATCCAACTACTGGGTATCTTATCCTCCAGTCTCTGCAACACTGTTATGCCAACTCTTACTTAGTTTGTAAGGCTACTACAAAATCTTAATTGTTTCTCAAAAATGTAGGTCCTCGGGCCCCTGCCAACATTCAAGTCTCTTTCGATAGTGGAGCTCTGAAGGCATCTTTTTCATGGGCACTGGCAGAAGGAGCTTTCAATTATACTGTGATGGCTTTGAGTGACTCTTCAGAGCTGACCTGCAGCACAGCTTTCAGTTCCTGCACCATCTCTTCCCTCCAGTGTGGAACTGAATACTTGATTTCAGTTTCAGCAAGTAATGATGCTGGATCTAGCAAATCATCTTCAACAGTGACCCTGAAAACTGGTATGTAAACAAGAGTGAGATTGCTGTAGGACTTGCAGCAGTGACTGCTATAAGGGAGACATTCACTGACAATACTCTGGGAAAATATGAAAATGAAAGCCTGGTCTAAATGAAAGCATTGAGTTGAACATTCTCATGAGTTTGAATAATACTGATAGTGAAGCGAGATATTGTGTATTGCAAAAAGCACTTTTTGGAAAATTAGGAGGCCTGGTTTCTATTCCAGATCTTTCATTAATTAGTTTTTTCTTTTTCCTTTGTAAAGCTGTGAAAATTCTAAGATCTGGTTTGAGTTGTACACAGCTCTAACTGTGCGTACAGATAACTGCCTCTTCTTTACATCATGTCTCATGTCCTAGGCTTGGTGGGAGCCGCCATTTTTTTAAGATAAAGACAGGATATTTCTAGTTCTGAATATATGTTTAGATATTTTTCCATTTTCATTCTTATCAGAGCGATAACCACATACACACGTGGAGGTTGACTCCTCTATTTAGAAATATCTATGTGTCTCGGGGATGGACACTAACAATTAATGAAACTAACACTTAATGAAGACCTACTATGTCTCTGGCGCTATAAGTATGTTATTTCATTTAAATCTCATGACAACTCAGTGAGGTGGGTTCTGTTATCTCTTTTTTTAGATAAGAAAACTGAAGCTCAGAGAAGTTAAATAATTTTCCCAAGGGCACACTGATAATAAGCAGTAGAGCTGAGATTCAAGCTGCTCAAGTTTGCCTAATTCCAATGCTCAAAGCCAAAGAAAATGTCGACAACTACAATAATGTCTACTTTATCTCACAGTCAGTTATGTCATTCTAAGTTTAAAAAAGCTTCTGAATAGGAAGAAAAGGAGCTATCCCCAAGTTGATGCACTCCATTCCACAGGAAAAAAAAAATAAAGCTATTCTTTCAGGCCCGCACTCTCTTATAGTTATGTTAAATTAAGGTCAATGATAACAAACTTGATGATTTGGCTTCTCTTTTGACAACTGTAATTAAATGTGAATGGTACATTAGAAGTGATTATGAGGACAAGATAGTTGAGAGTGGGAGAAGAGAGAAAAAACACTTTCAAAAGCATAGCAGTTCTGAGTTAGGCAGTTAGGCATTTAATGCAGGGGAGAACCATGCAGTGTTTTTTAATCTTGGACGAACATTAAGAGCATCTGGGGAGCTTTTATAAAACCCCAATACCCAGGTCCCACTTAAGACCAATTGGAGTTGCTGGGAATAGAATTTGGATATGAATAGTTTGTAAAAGCTCCCCAGTTGATTCTACTATGCAGTCAGGGTTAAGTGCCATTGGAATAGTCCTTCACACTTACAGGTCCAGGAGGTTCTAAGGCAGTTTGTGTATGACACAGTCATGATCATGGGGATGACCTTGACTAATAATAAAGTAACATTATTATTTAATATATTTAATATATTAATATTACATATAATATATATTATATTAAAAATATATAATAAAAGAACTATGTTTACAAAGTACTATGTGTTTCCTGGGGCCCAGAAGTGTGTAATATATTTTGGGAAGATTTCCACTAGTGAAAACTAAAATTTTTAAAGCTTAGCACTTGAATGAACAAACTTTATTTGAATTCGTTCTTTCAGAAGATATTGTTCCATCAATAAATGAGGCATTATGTGGATAAATGAGGTATTGCCTTAACACAGAGAAACAGTCAATATTAACAAATCAATACATGCCTGCTTTTGACATAGTCTGGCATTTATTGTGTGAGATAAATTTTAGGACATCTGAGAATGTCTCCTGGGTTTGTACTGAGTTATACATACTATTTGATTTGTTCCTTATTTGTAGCATCTAGTATCCTAACTCTATGCTTAAGATGCTCCCTGGAAGGTGTAATGGGCATGAGAATGTATTCTGTCATTCAGTGCATGAGAGGCTGCAGTTAGAACAACTTTTCAGGTTGCACATGGTGGCTTATGCCTGTAATCCCAATACTTTGGGAGGCCGAGGCGGGTGGATTGCTTGAGTCCAGGAGTTTGAGACCAGCCTGGGCAACATGGCTAGACCCTGTCTCTACAAAAAAATACAAAAGTTAGCTGGTCATGGTGGCATGCACCTGTAGTTCCAGCCACTCACGAGGCTGAGGTGGGAGGATCACCTTAGCCTGGGAGGCAGAGGTTGCAGTGAGCTGAGATCGCACCACTGCACTCCAGCCTGGGTGACAGAGCAAGACCTTGTCTCCAAAAAAATTAATTAAAAAATAAATTTAGGCTGGGCGCATTGGCTCATGCCTGTAATCCCAGCACTTTGGGAGGCTGAGGGAGGAGGATCACTTGAGGTCAGGAGTTCAAGACCAGCCTGGACAACATGGTGAAACCCCGTCTCTACTAAAAATACAAAAAGTAGTTGGGCATGGTGGTGCACACCTGTAGTCCCAGCTACTCGGGAGGCTGAGGCAAGAGAATCACTGCAGCCCGGGAGGTGGAGGTTGCAGTGAGCCGAGATCACATCGTTGCACTCCAGCCTGGGCAACCGAGTGAGATTCTGTCTCAAAAAATAAACACATGAAATAAAATAAAAAATAAATTTTAAAAAATAGGTTTTTTTAAAAAGAACTTTCCATGCTATGGAGGCTTTACACATAAACCCCCAGAAAGACCCAGCTCCATTCCTTCCCACTTATGGATCTTGGACAACTTACCAACCTCTATAAGCCTCAGTTTCCTCAACTGTAAAATGATGATATTTGCTGGAAGAATTAGAGAATATATTAATATAAAACATAATGAATGATATCTGTATTTTAATCTCTAAAACAGATAACTTCTGGGATATTCATTATTCCACTGAAGCCAAACTAGCTTCATCTCTGGATGAAATCAAATATTTCAACAAATAATCTAACAATGAAAATTTTTATGTCTTAAGATGACTATGAATCTCTGAGGGCTCATTATTTCAAACAATATTTTGTATAACAAGAGAATGTGACAGGTCATTAAAATTTGTTGTAGTGGTTTGGGGCCTATAACATAGCCTTTGGTCCTATAAAGAAAATCTTCTAATGCTTCCAGTGCACAGTTTTGCATTTTGTGCACCAAATTCAATCTGTCACAAAGCTCAGAGTTGCTTATTTGGGTTGTACTGAAATCTTAGATAATTGCAAACATGCGAAGAAAATCTCCTGCAGTAGTCTCATGTTTGCTTTTTATTGATCATTTCCTAGTTGCTTGTGCACCTGGAAGAGTGACAATCCAAGAAGATCCCCCCGGCCACCTGTCTGTGGCTTGGTCCAATGTAGATCTGGGTGACTACTATGTGGTCTTTGTGAAGAGTGATGACGGCTTGGAAGTACACTGCAACACATCTCTCACTGAGTGCAATTTCTTATCTGAGTGTGGCTTCACCTATTTTATTAGTGTTTTTGCCTATAACAAGGCAGGGCAAAGTCCTTTGGGTGACATATTCAATTATACCACAGGTAAGTCCCATTTGATACTTGTCAAGGGAGTTCTGAGATCACTAACCTCAGCAGCAGAATGGATCACCTATTCCACTTATTAACTTAGCACCTGGGAGTCATTCTAGGATTAAGAACAGAAAGTAATCTCTTATCTCACATTCTTTCCAGACTAGGGAATCTTGGTTTTGTGGACCCAAGCGTAACTAGAATGCAAAGTTTGGGAGTGAAAAGAGGAGGAAGAATGTAGTTGTTCAACCTTGCTCTGAAAGATTGAACTGTCCACAAAGATGTACTCCGTGAGTGTTCTAGCATGTGCTGCTGCCAAAGAGGAGGCAGTGCCTGCGTTTCAGGAGGTCACTCTTTCCCTAAGACCAAGAGAGACATACAATGGCCAAGATGCTACATGGTGTGGAGGACTTTGGAGTAGGACACCTGGGTTGACACCCTAACTTGACCACTCATTCATTCCTTCACTGAGGGTAATGATGTCCACCTTGCTAGTTCCTTAGTGTTCTTCACTGCAAAATGGGACAAATCATGAGAATATGAATGTGAAAAGGTCTTGTGTGTGATAAAGCATGATGCAAATATTTTTATTAGCATCACAATTGCTGTTGCTATTATCCTCCACTAGACTTGTATCTTGTATAAGGCAGGAATTACGTCTTATTTATCTCTTCATCCTCAGTGCTTATAATAGTATGATCAGCATATGGGAGATGCTCAAGTTTTGAAGAATGAGTGGAGTGATTTGAAATTAAATAACTACATTACAAATAAGAATACTCCAACATAATTATGTAAAAGTCTAGCTGAATTACAGTAAATTTTGCCAGGATGAGGGATCTAAATCATTAGTGCCTTTTGGAATGTGGAATAAGAGGCCATCGATAAGGTCCTAACACAGGAGGGTCCTCCAGAGTGGCCTTGAGCTGGATCTTGAAGGATGAATGGAAATGTAAGTGGGGCAAGAGCATCCCAGGGAAACCCCAAGCTGAGTCAGACATTTGCCAGTGGGGTTCTTTAGGGTCTCTCAAGGTCTATACACGGCCGGGCACAGTGGTTCATGCCTGTAATCTCAACACTTTGGGAAGCCGAGGCAGGCAGATCACTTGAGGTTAGGAGCTGAGACCAGTCTGGGCAACATGGAGAAACTCTGTCTCCGCTAAAAACACAAAAATTAGCTGGACATGGTGGCATGTGCCTGTAATTCCAGCTACTCCGGAGGCTAAGGCATGTAAATCACTTGGACCCAGGAAGCAGAGGTTGCTGCGAGCTGAGATCACACCACTGCCCTCCAGCCTGGGTGACAGAGCAAGACCCTGTCTCTTAAAAAAAAAAAAAAAATTCTACTTATATAACTATGACCCCCACCCCCCAGTTTTATTTGGCTTAGTGTCTGGAAAGGCTGACAGGATCTGAGAAGTCAGACTACATATGATTTTACCAGGCAGAAGAGGGGACCGGCTTTCCAGTAGAGGGGTCAGCAATTTTCTCTGCATAGAGAACGAGGGTGCACGTGGCATGGGGGAATTGAGGAGTCTGGTGTGGCGGGGAGTTGGGGGAGCACAGCTGAACCTTACAGCTTGTGATGACCTTGAATGTCATGCTGAGAATTTACCCTCTATGCAGTGACAATTAGGCCAAGATTGGACCTGGACAGACCCACAGGGGGTCACTGTAGTCATTAGGGAGGGCAGTGGCCAAGCCTCTGGGCATGGGAGGTCAGGACTCAGTGTCCGCCCTGGTTGCATTGCTCTTGATGGGACCACCGTTTTCCCTCTGCTCCTGCTTTCAGCTCCCTGTTGCCCTAGTGACATTAGCCCCGTGTTGGTGTCCAGTGACAGAGTTGAGATTGTGTGGTCTCCCGTCCGTGGTGCCGAACTGTATGAAACCAAGGCTGCAGATGGGTACAACACGGTTGAGTGCAATGACACTGTTCCCGCGTGCACCCTTTCGGCTCTAGAGTGTGACACCAAGTACAACATCACGGTGTATTCATTCAGTGAAGTCCGAGGCAGCAATATGTCATGTACTCCCCAGTTCATAACCACAGGTAAGGCACAGCTATCATTCCACTCACTGCTGTCTGAATGATTCACCCCAGCTGCGAGCCTCAGGATGGGCATTCAGTAAGACCAATAAAAAGGTTAAATCCCATTAATCAATCTTTGTGGGGACCAAGACAGCCGCTGTTGTACGAAGGAGAGTCAGAGGAGAAGGCAGAAGAGGAAAGTAGAAAAAATGAAAACAAAAGGGGAGACCGTGGGGAGAGTAGAAGGTTTTGCCCATGATTACTTCAGCCATTCAGTTCCTCCTGTCTTTGAGGGTCCTGCCTGTACTCACACCATGAAGGTGTGTAAATATGTTTCTTACTTACGTTTGCTTTTGGAGTTCACAATGCTCTTAAACATTTTCCAGCTATTCCAGTACTATATGAACCCAATGCCCAGTGTTAATGTCAATAGTTGTAATGTAATTTGGCCTGCATGCATGACGTGGTTGAAAACTATGATGATCTCACTGGGGGCAAAATCAATTTTAGACCAAATGGCACATGTGATATTTTCGACTCATGCTTTTTCAATTAATACTCTAAAATCTCTCAGCTCCTTGCAGTCCTGAAATAAAAAATGTTTCAAGGGATGCATTCTCCACGATTAACGTGCACTGGCAATCCACTAATGATGACGCTACTTACACTGTGACTGCCCAGGGGGAGAAAGGACTATATCAGTGCAGCAGCATGGGAGAGTCCTGTACCATGCGGGGCTTGCCCTGTGGCTCAGTGTTCTCTGTCACTGCTGTGGCTGAAACACAGGCAGGACGGAGCCTGCCCAGCTACAGTGTGCCCCTGGAAACAGGTATGTAGCAACCACCAAGCCTGAATGTTGACTTCAGTGGGGTCCTTACGAAGTGTTTCAAGACATGAACTTCCTTATTTAATCTACCCTCAGTGCCATAGAAATACATTAAACTCAGAGCCGTTTCAAAGAGTCCCGGTCATAGAAAATAAAATTTTCAATATTTTACAAGTTCTGTAAAAATATCCTCAAGACTAGTATATCCATTCACTGGCATCAGAGAAGGAATACTTACTCATTCTGTGAAACATTTATTTGAATTCATATTCGAATATGATATAATCTATCAAAACAGCTAACAAATGAGTAGCCAAATGAGCTGGGTTGTTACTTATTTCTTTGGCTCAGCCCTTTCAAATTTTTCTCTTTAAAAAATGCTTTCTGACTTTCAGTTTCCTGATAGGTAAAGGGGAGATAATGGCCTCACAGGGTGGTTATGAGTATTAAGTTGACTAATGCTGCAAAGCTTTTAGCATAGTGCCTGATGCATAGCAAGAGCGCCATAAAAGAAAACTATTATTACAGCATAGCATTGTTTATGAATGAAACGTGGCAAATCACTTCAGCTTTTGGACATTCGTTTTTCTTATATACAGCGATAGACGGCACTTTGGCTTATAAAAGTTGAAATACCTAAAAAACGAAACCAGCAGTAAGATAGAGACCATACAAAATACTGCATGCATGAAGCTCTTAGGCATCCTGTATTCTGGGTAATGGGTCCCTGAAAAATCAGGATGGCTGGGGTATTTTAGGCAGCTAAGAAATCAAGCTTTTATATCAGTGATGTACTATAACATTTTCAAGAAAGGCAAATTATACTTAATTGCTAATGCTATGAAATGTTCTATTGGGAGAAGTGAATGCAACCGCTACTTTGAAATTTGCAGTTAGAATTGTTGAAGATGGGCCAAAAGTGGTGGCTCACGCCTGTAATCCCAGCACTTTGGCAGGCTGAAGCAGGTGGATCATGAAGTCAAGAGATCAAGACCATCCTGGCCAACATGGTGAAACCCCGTCTGTACTAAAAAATACAAAAAAGCCGGGCATGGTGGCACGTGCCGGTAGTCCCAGCTACTCGGGAGACTGAGGCAAGGAGAATAGCTTGAACCTGGGAGGTGGAGGCTGCAGTGTGCTGAGATGGTGTCACTGCACTCCAGCCTGGCGACAGAGCGAGACTCCATCTCCATCTCAAAAAAAAAAAAAAAAAAAAAATTGTTGAAGATGGGGGCAACAAAGGATTTCCTTCTTATTCTGGAAAAAAAAAATGGTGGAAACCTTCAACAGCCAGTTGGTGCAGTGCATTCTTGGGGAAACCACCCACTACATACAGTGAATGTTACATGACGCATCAGAGGAAATGAACACAAGGAAATTTTTTATTAACAATGGAAAGTTGGGGAATGTAGGATATTGAGTGAAACACAGGCAAAATCCCATTCTTTGTCATTTTTCACAAATAATCTTCAGTGGAAATAAATCTCCAATTCTTTTTCTTTTATCCCATTTAAGTGCCGTGCTGTCCAACTGGTCTGACAGTAACTCAAATCACCCAGTCAGTAATCAACGTGAGCTGGACTATTGGGAGAGTGGCTCAAACCCATGTTGCAGTTCTGGAGTCACACACTGGACAGTCTAAGTGTCACACTCATCAAAACTACTGCCTCCTGGGATGCATCACATGTGGCGTCAATTACACAGTGACATTAAAAGCAATTAGCGCCACAGGGTTGACTGCGGATTGCTCCTACCAAAGTTATTTCTCTGGTAAGCAAACTCCAGCTCTAGAGTAGCAGTAAGGACTTAACTATTGTAAATCCAGGCATAAGCCTTTCCTCCTCATTTAAAAAGATGCTGCATCTCCACCTAGTTTGCATTATAAACTCAGATTACTTTCTAAAATGGTTATAGTTTTCCCTTTGGTTAGAACCTCAAAGCTTCGGAGGCTTCTGTTGGTAGTTGGTGAATTAACTCCCCTAGTAACAATATTCATGCCTGCTTTTTCTGAAGGGACTGTGTATCTTTATATGACACAGCTACCTGCAATACAGAGTAACTCAGCCGGGCAGAGTTTTCTGGAAGCATTAGATCACACATTCTGTTTGGTCTGCGTTTTTTTCTTCTCATTATTATTGTGCTACTACCTCTCTTTTCTAAGCTTCTTCAGCTCCTTCAATGGTTTCTTATTTCAACAGGCTAAGAGAGCAAAGGCATCTGTCTACTGACAGTATTGTCGCTTGTTCTTCACAAAGACCAGACCATTAGGGAGTAGCGGCGGAAGCTAAAAGCAGTGCAAGGTTACCAAACAAGATTTCTCTTGCATGATTCTAATCCACTGAAGTGGCTGCTTGTAGCATGGTTTTGAAAAAACTCTTAAGGATGCTTCCTACGCTTAAGGTGAAAGAGTACAATGATCAGTTACCTCGGCCTGGGGCATGGGATGGAAGAGTTGGAATATAATTTTGGCATTCCAGAGGTAGTAGAAAGAGTCTCAACTGGGAGTCAAAATTAGACATGACTTCTTATAAGCTGTGTTGCCTAATCTTCCCTGATTCTGTCTCCTCATTGAAAAAGACAGGAATAGTAATATTTTCCTTCGAAGTTGTTTTGAGAATCAAAATAAATCATAACATGAGAACATTCAGAACATGCTGCATGTATGTCAGCTGGTGTGTACTTTCTTCTGACCCATTATCTTGTATTAGATTTACTGCCTAAGTTCTCACCTTGATATCCAGTTCTCATTGCTTATTCTTTTAAGAAAAAATCAAGTAAGCCTGATTATAATAACTTTTAAAAATTATACAGTAGGATCTTTAACTTAGGTACTAAGGAATCCATCTGGTGCCCTTATTGGCACCTAATGTGTGGCTCGCTCAAGGTATTTAGAAAAGAAAAAAAAATACTAATCAGCTACCATGGATGAAGCGTGGACCAGCAAACTTGGTCACTGGCATGTTGTATAAATGGCTGCACCCAAAGTGTCATGCTACTCAGCTCGGCAAAATTGGTTCTTCAATTAAAGCTGAATGCAATTAATTATATTTAAGTTTAATGCCACCAAAAATCAAATGAAACTAGGCCATTATGAGGGATTTTGACAAGGATTCTGTGCCTTTGACTCACAGTTTGAGTAATGTACAATATGTATCTGCCAATTTTTGGACCTTTCTGACTCACCATCGTTCTATATTAAAAATTCATACCTCACACCACCTTCACACATGAATTTCTCTCTCCTTTCTTCCTTTCTTTCTTTCTTTCTTTCTTCTTTCCTTCCTTCCCTCCCCTTCCTTTCTTCCTTTCTTTTTTTCTTTTCTTTCTTTCTTTTTTCTTTCTTTTCCTTCCTTTTCTTCTTTCTTTCTCTCTCTCTCTCTCTCTTTCTTTCTTTTTTCTTTCTTTCTGGATCTCGCTCTGTCACCTAGGCTGGAGTGAGTGCTGTGGCACCCTCATAGCTCACTGCAGCCTTGAACTCCTGGCCTCAAGCCATCCTCCTGCCTCATCCTCCCAAGGGGACCACAGGTGTGCACCACCACAACTGGCTAATTTTTTTTTTTTTTTTTTTTGTAGAGTCAGGGTCTCCCTGTGTTGCCCAGGCTGGTCTCAAACTCCTGGGCTTAAGCAATCCTCCTGCCTTGGCCTCCCAAAGTGCTCAGATTATAGGCATGAGCCATCATGCCCGGCCACCCATGGATTTCTGATTATGTGGCCCACCATGGAAATAACTTGAGTACCCCTTCAAATCTTGCTCTGATCTAACCAGTAATTAATCCTGTTACTTAAAATAGTTTACTTATATTTTTTCCCTGCAGTAATCAAGGCCATTTTTCGATGATGGTGGAATAAAACCAGTGATTTTGTGTTTCTTTTTATTGCTTAGGTGCCTGCTGCCCTTTGGGGGTGAAATTATATAGGCTGGGCTCTAACGGCATCCGGATCTACTGGCAAGCCTCCAGGGGCTCTGCCAGTTACAGCACTGACCTCTACGGCTCCAAAGGCATTTTCACGTGCACCCCGAGTGCTGGCCTCAGTTTCTGTGATGTCACTGAGATACCCTGTGGGGATGTATACACTGTGATGGTCTCACCAGTTGCTGAAGCAGGATTGAAGCTTACTTTCTGTCCAAAAAAAATATATTCAGGTAAAGCAAGTTATGACGGTTTATCTAAAACTAACCCTGAACTCAGATCTGTGAATTAAGATGCAATCAAACTTATTTGCTATGTAGGAAGGGCACAGAGGGTATAAAATTTCTTTCTTTCTTTTTTTGTTTTTTTGTTTTGAGACAGTCTTGCTCTGTCGCCCAGGCTGGAGTGCAATGGCACGATCTTGGCTCACTGCAATGTCCACCTCCCGGGTTCAAGCGATTCTCCTGCCTCAGCCTCCTGAGTAGCTGCAATTACAGGCACCTACCATCATGCCCGAGTAATTTTTGTATTTTTGTAGAGATGGGGTTTCACCATGTTGCCCAGGCTGGTCTTGAACTCCTGACCTCAGGTGATCCACCCGCCTCAGCCTCCCAAAGTCCTGGGATTACAGGCATGAGCCACTATGTCCAGCTGAAGGTATAAAATGTCTATACAGCACAGGTAGATTCTGGCTGTGGAAGACCCCAAAATTCTCTGGAATTGTGATGCTTTATTATTATTTAATTTAGAGATTATTTTCCCTGTCCCATGCTTCCCCTTCCTAAAAAGGACTAGGTGCTTGCTGCTTAACTAGTAAAGCAAATTTAAGATAATTTTCTCCTTTGAGATTTAGCGATAGATTTTTAACATAGTCTTATTGATAATATTGGAAATTAGGAAACTTGAACTTTTATTTGCACAGACTGAGAATTGTGACTGAGGAAAAGTTAGAGGATCAGAAAAAATGAATTTATAAATCACAAGCCAGGCTTGGCAATATGAGTGGGCAGACAGTCTGTGATCACAAAACATGACTGTCAGCAACTACCACCTCACTAGAGCTGGCAGGAAAACATTAGCAATTCTCCGCTCTGTGTTCCAGCACCTTCTGCTACCTTGCCCAGGGCACAGTCATACATTTTTCATATATTCCTAGAAGAAAAGGCATGATGAAGCCCTAGAATTTTGCAGATGAACACAGAAAAAAGAATAAATATTGGCTCACAAACCCTTATTGATAGCCAGAATCTAAAATTTCCAATGATATGTAGGTGACAAGAGGTTCAGGATGGCCCTTGGTGATGGAAGGAGGACAGTTCCTCCCAAGGGGCTGTTCTCATTGTCCCTGGCTGTCATGCTCTGATTCCTTGTTTTTCCATTATTTGGTCCACAGGACAAACTGGCCCAAAGTATAGTCCTATGGGAAGGGACAGGAATAGGTTCCTGGAGTAAGGATGAGCTTTTAGGAAGATGAGTCTACAGCTCAATAACAATACTGCATTATAACTGCATATACTTTATAATGTGCCAAGCAGTTTCATACTACAAATACCATTGAATGCTCAAAATATGCTATGCTGTAGTCTCAACATATTTCATTATCTCTTACTTTATAAATAAGAAAACTGAAGCTCAGAGGCTCCCAAATCTCTATCTACAACTCTTCTCTTCTCCTGACCCCTAAATCCATATTCAAATTTGATACCTCCACTTGCAGGTGCCCAGGCATTTCAAACCCTCAGGGCCAAAAGGAATTCCTGATCCTCTGCTGTTTCTGATCTTCCTTCCATTGTCCTTGTTTCAGGCACATTAGCTAAAAAACCCTGGAGTCAGCTTCCGTCTCCCGCACCCTCCATATCTAAGTAGTCTTGAATTCTTGTCCTGGTCACCTCCATAATGGTTCCTAAATCCAGATTCTTCTCTTCATTCCACAGCTACTGCTATGCCTCAGGCCCTCACCACCTCTCCCCTAGACTTCTGCACCAGTCACATCTGCCTGTCCTCACTCCAGCCTCTGTACTGTTACCAGAGTTGTTATTTCAGGACACTGGTCCAATTGTGTTACTTTTATGCTTCCAAATCTTCAAAACTTTTCCATTTCCCCATAAGATAACATTCAATCCTCTGGGCATGGTGTTCACAGTCCCTTGTCTGCTTATACCTGTACTGTTCAATAGAAATTTAATATGAGCCATGTATGAAAAATTTAATTTTCTAGTAGTCATATTAAAAAAGTAAAAAGAGGCAAAATTAATTTCATAATATATTTTAGTTAACCCAATATATCCAAAATATTATCATTTCAATACCTCATCAATATAAAAATTATTAATAGATATTTTGTATATTTTTCATACTGTCTTTGAAATCTGGTGTGTCTTTTGTATTTATAGTACATTTAGTTCGAACTAGCCACATGTTCAATAGCTACTTGAGTGTCTACTGTACTGGACAGATAAATTGGTTTTTCGTGGGTTTTTTTTGTTTGTTTGTTTGTTTTTTATTGAGACAGGGTCTTGCTTTGTCATCCAGGCTAGAGTTCAGTGGTACAATCACAGCTCACTGCAGCCTTGACCTCCTGGGCTCAAGCGATCTTCCTGCCTCAGCCTCCCAAGTAGCTGGGACTATAGGCATGCCCCATCACGCTTGGCTAATTTTTAAAATTTTTTGTAGAGACAAGGTCTTGCTATGTTGCCCAGGCTGGTCTCGAACTCCTGGGCTTAAGCAATCCTCTCGCCGCAGCCTCCCAAAGAGCTGGGATTACAGGCATAAGCCACTGTGCCCAGCCTGAACAGAGAAATTCTAGGCTCATTCCACAACATCCATTCTCAGAGGACTCTATTCTCTAGTCTAGGCATCTGGCATCATTCACGCATGCCTGCTCCTGCCACACACACCTCCTGTTCTATGTCATGTTCTGGAGCTACTGCTGTGCTCTTCTCTTTGCCCGGAATTCCACCCCACCTCCACCAAGAGAATTCTACCAGCCTGAATTTTCCTTATCTGTGAAGCCTTCTCCAATTATCATAAGCTGAGTTAGCCCTCTCTCTCCCTCCTTTATCACCCCACAGCACCCTTATCTGTACTGCAACATATTACTGTGAATTGAATGTGTGTTATTTCTCCTAATAAGTGATTATCTATTTGACTCCCAGTACGTAGCACATAACTGTTGCCTGATATATTTTAAATTTAAAAAAGAATGAATCAATGAATTTATGCGCCTCTGATCATACAGCTAAGTGAGTGATGGAAGTCTTTTGTTCTTTCTCCTGCTCCATGCCCACAATTTCACCCTTAGAGAGTCATTCCTCTGAAGGCTGGTTAGCCACGAGAAGTCCTTGTGAGTTAGAACTCAAGCTCTTTGATGGGATGCCATCTCAAGCCTGCAGCCATTTCAGCTTAGTAATATTAGGTATCCAGACTCAAGTTAGGAAATCCTCCTTTGCTCAGTGTCCCTGGTAAAAGCCATACATTTGGGAGATGTTTTTTGGTTTTGTTTGTTTGCAATATCAGTGATGCTTTATTCTGATAATCAGGACAATGTTGTAAATGACAATAACAACTAATATTTATTGAGTGCCATGTGCCGCCAGGCACAGTTCTAAGGAGTTTACATGTATTAACTCACTTTATAACAAACCTATCAGCTTGGCATTCTTTTTTTTTTTTTTTTTTTTTTTTTTGAGATGGAGCCTTGCTCTGTCACCCAGGCTGGAGTGCAATGGCACGATCTCGGCTCACTGCAACCTCCACCTCCCAGATTCAAGCGATTCTCCTGCCTCAGCCTCCTGAGTAGCTGGGATTACAGGTGTGCACAACCACGCCCGGCTAATTTTTGTATTTTTTGGTAGAGATGAGGTTTCACCATGTTGGCCAGGCTGGTCTCGAACTCCTGACCTCAGGTGATCTCCCTGCCTGGGCCTCCCAAAGTGCTGGGATTACAGGTGTGAGCCACTACACCCAGCTGAGCTTGATATTCTTATTCTTACTGCTTTTCAGATAAATTGAGGCACAGTGAAGTGACTTGCCCAGATCACACTGCTAGTAGTATCTCCTTCACTTATCATCTAAGTTCGTTCTTGTTCATTTTTTGGTTTACTTTCCTTTTATTATTTCTTAAGTTAAATCTTCACTATCTTAAATACATAAATGAATAGATTTTATTTTAAATGCTTGTGTTTTTATTACAGTAACTTGCTCTGGAAGTACACTTGGAATGGGTAAGTCATTTTTCTCATGGATAAAATAGAACAGGATTTTTGTTACTCCATTTTGGGGTTACTTAATGAAGTCAGCTGACTTTTCAATTAGAAAGCAAATGCTTTCTTTCTTTGATACAAGGGGCTCCTGCTCTCTTATCCCATAACTTTTTCTCCCCATGATAGTGCATCCTCTCAGATTCCACCAGTTGAGATGAATTTCTTTGAATTCTGAAGTCTTTTCAGTATTCTAGGGTCCTACAGGAAAATGTAAATAGTTTTGGGAGGGGCAGCCGCTTTATCCCTCACACTTCAGAAAGTGATTCCCAGCTCAGCTGTACATTGGAGTCACCTGGAGAGCTTAAAATTAACTGACGTCTGGGTTCTGTCCCCAGAAAGTTTGATTTAATGGGTCTGGGGTGAGAGCTGGGCATCAGGAGTTGTAAAAGCTCCTCAGGTGATTCTGAAGTATAGCCAAGGCTAAGAACTGCTACTTTAGAGACATGCTTCTCAAACTTTATTGTGCACACACATCACCTGGGACCTCGTTAAAGCCAGATTCTGATTTGGTTGGTGTAGGAAGGGTCTGAGATTCTGTATTTCCATAAGGTCCAGGTGATGCTGGCGATGCCGAGGCTGCTGGTCTGACCACACGTGGAGTACCCAGGTGTTAGAATCTGTTAATGGCCTGCAGAGAGCTACGATGTTTGCTCCTGGTTTGCATGAGTGGGTATACCCCGTGGAGACAGAGGGTGCTGAAAGGGCAGTTGGAGTAAAGAGAACCTTTACTGCCTTCTCGGTTTTGCTCAGGGATGATCTTGTCTAAGCTATTTTGGTTGCCCCCGCAGAGATAACTCTTGGCACGGCAGTGGAGATGAGCAAATGTAGCCATGAGTGCTGACCCAGTAAGCAGTGTATGCTGCCTCATGAGGAGTCCTTTCCACAGCCTTTCAGGGGACAGCTTGGTCTGGAGCCTTAGGAAAAAAATCCCCTGGGAATATTATCAATCCCAAACTACAGAACTTCCCTCCCGCCCACCCCTGCCCCGCCCCTCCCCATTCAGACATGGCTGACTTTGAATGGTATGAGTCTAAATGAAGTCTTCCTGCTTGTAAACCCCACTGGACAACCTTCCAATCGGGGCCGGCTCCCCAACCACACCCCCTTCCACTGGCAGGAACTGGGTCTAGAGTCTCCACTCCCTATTCTCTGCCTGGGCTCCCTTCCTCTCCCAGTCCATTGCTTCTCTGAGCACAGCAGAATACATGCTTTTCAATTCCTGTCCTACCTGCAGGTCTGAAATAAGCATAATCCCTATTAATTTTTCAAGAGTTTTTGTTTTCTATGACTACAATAAGGAACAGACTTGGCTTACTGCAAACAAACTGTGAGGACACTTCTAATTATAGGAAAATCTCCCAAAGTACTAGAGACCATAAGCCCTGGTCTTCAGTGAAAGGTACATGGACCTGGGTCTGCATTCTTTAATCTGCATCTCCCTGAGACATAGAGCTGTGGTAGAAGTGTCCTAGGTTCCCAGGGGAGAGGAGTGGTGTATGATATTTTGGCCTTCCCTATGATTATGTTAAAGGAAGAGTTTCTAATAAAAACAAAAACATAAACATTTTAAAAAGTTTGAAAAGAAAGAGTTTCCATGTGATAACAAAAAACACAAAAGGTGGGGTGGCAAGGAGAGCAAGCATGGTGGCTCATGCCTGTAATCTCAGCACTTTGGGAGGCCAAAGCAGAGGATCACTTGAGCTCAGGAGTTGGAGACCAGCCTGGCCAACAAAACAAGACCTTGTCTTTACAAAGCGTAAAAAAAAATTAGCTAGGCATGGTGGCATGTGCCTGTAGTTCTGCTGTAGTCCCAGCTACTTGGGAGGCTGAGGTGAGAGGATTGCTTGAGCCTGGGAGTTCAAGGCTGCAGTGAGCTATGACAGCACCACTGCACTCCAGCCTGGGTGACAGAGTGAGACACCAGCCTCACCAGAGAGCTTTTTAGAAATGTACAGTCTTGGGCCCCATCCTGACCTACTAAATCCCCAGGTGATTCATGCACGTATTCAAGTTTGAGTAGCACTACTTAGGTACTGCTCTCAAACTTTGCTATGTAATAGAATCTCCTGGACAGTTAATAATGAATGCAGAGGCCCCGGCCCTGGCCCAGTGAAGTGCCTCCATATTTCCATCAGGTTCCCAGGTGATTTGGATACATGTGAAGTTTGAGGAGCACTGCTTTAGGTCACTAATCTTCTCTTTTCTGACCATCCAGGCTTCAGCTTACCTTCACCGTTCCCTTCCTTAGCCAGGGCTCAGTCTTCAGTCTGAAATCTGCCACTCTCTTAAAGTAGATACTTGTAGAAATCCTGTAGGAGCCAGACACAGTGTCACACACCTGTAGTCCCAGCTACTCGGGAGGCTGAGGTAGAGAATCACTTGAGCCCAGGAGTTTGAGGCCAACCTTGGCAACATAGTGAGAACCCCCCTGCCCTCAACCCCATCTCTCTGAAAAAAAAAAAAAAAATCCTGCAAGGCCCTCAAAAAATAAGAGTAAACCAGATTATCTGAGGGTTTCTAAGGTCATGTGGAAGTCATTATATCTAAGGGGAAATTCTAAATTGCTGTCTTCAATTTCAGCATTTCCCCTCCCCAAACACAGGGCAAGTCCAATCAGGTCCTGGGGCTGACACTGGAGCCTCTGGATATGCTAAGGGGAGCCATGGGAATCTTGCTGGTCTAAGACTTTGGGTTTTCTTTGACTCTTGGAGTATCCTAAAGCTTTTCAAACTTTTTTTTTTTTGAGACGGAGTTTTGCTGTGTCATCCAGGCTGGAGTGCAGTGGTGCAATCTCGACTCACTGCAACTTCCACCTCTGGGGTTTAAGTGATTCTTGCGCCTCAGCCACTTGAGTAGCTGGGATTACAGATATGTGCCACCACACCTGGCTAATTTTTGTATTTTTAGCAGAGATGGGGTTTCACCATATTGGCCAGGCTGGTCTCGAACTCCTAGACTCATGTGATCCACCTGCCTTGGCCTCCCGAAGTGCTGGGATTACAGGCGTGAGCCACTGCACTGGCCATAAACAGACTTTTTAAGAGAGATCTGGATTCAAATCCTGCCACCATCACTTGCTCTTAGTCAAGTTGTGTAAATTCTCTGTAAGCCTAGGTTTCCTCATCTGAAAATTGGAGTAAACAATAATCCCTCATAAAAGAACATAAGGATTAAATGAGAATGTAAATTATTGGACACAATAATAGGCTCATAACAACTACTTAATAAATGGTAGTTTTTAATTCATATTCAGTTTAAGCTCATGTTACATTCTATTATGTACCAATTATTAACATTTTAATGTGCTACTTCTAAGATATTCGCATTTTAACCTTGGTCCTCATAATACACTTCCTCGTTGATTCTCTAACTGTGGTCCTGGGACCAAAAGCATCAGCATCAGCTGGGAACCTCTTAGAAATGCAATTTCTCAGGCTCTTCCACAGACCTATTGAATCAGAAATTCTGGGACTAAGGCCCAGCCTTCTTTGTTTTAGCCCTCCAAGTGCTTCTGATGCATGCTAAAGTACGAAAAGCATGGCTTTAATTCAAGAAAGCTATTTCGATGCTGGAAATTGATGCAATTTGGAAGGGAAAGGAAAAAAAAAACCGATTTGAGGTGATAGGGCGCTCTAACAAGAGGTAGATAGATGGGAGGGGTTTGTGCCTGACATCACACCATGAGCAGGGGCTGGGGGCGTTCCTTCATCTTTAGGACTCAACATGTTTCAGTGTCACCTGCACATCCTGGGCAACTTCGAGGAAGTTTCCTGTCTGTGACACGCTTAGCAGCTAAACAGGTTTATGTTCTCCGTATAAAACTCCCTGAGTCATTAAAATTTTGGAATTCCCTGAGGAGCACAGCAAGTTGGCCTGGGGGTGGAAAGGAAAGTTCTTTTGTTTTGAACCAGCAGTCTGGGATTAAAGAGGCTCTGGGAGGGTTCATTTGGTGAAGCAGGAGAGAGATTGCTCTGATTAGAAATTGCTGATCAGTTTGAACACTTGGTCAGTTGTCATAGTTTCAAGTTTACTTGCTGTGAAGTGCTGTAAAAATAGTATTTCAAATCAAAATACACATAAAATCTCAGACACTGGTGCTTTTTAAGAAAATGTCTGCATATTGAATGCATCTTTTACTGCTTTCCTTCCTTACCCTTCTCAGTGATTTATAGAGGGAAGAGAAATGAAGAATGACAAAGTGAGCCCCAGATAAAAACAAAAATTTGACTAAGTGAGTAATGTAAATTGATTTTGTGTGATTTTATGGCAAAGTTTTTTGTCTTTGTTTAAAATGTTTTCCCATTTGTCTTGCAGAGTTGTCTCATTTGTTAGTGATTAGAGATGGAAAAGATCTACTAGAATGTAGAATAAAATAATGCCTCTAGGATAGGAAAAGCTCCTTTGGCCTTTAGAAGAACAACTCTGACTCTGCTTCCTGAGGGCAAGGTCAGGTGTGTCCTCACCTGCACAGCAGTTGGAGAGCTGCCGTGTGAAGACTCTGGAGAGAAATGGATCCAGAAAATCCCCTGGACAGCTGCCAGGGTGAGTCAGCAAGCTGCGAGAACCCTGGAAACACGAAAGGTCTGCTTAGCAGAAATTCTTTCTGCGATTTCACATCCAGACACACCACAGACTTCAACACATCCACTTCATGAGTGTTTTATTGACAACAGCACTTGCCTGCAGCCCCCTCAGGGACTGGAAATGTTCACTCCCAGAAAGTCGAGCCACCCACATGCAGACAGCACTTATCCCGAGACAAACCTCCAGCAGGACTTCAGTATAGGTTGGAAAGCAGTAGCTGCCAGGGCAACCTGAGATAACAACCGCCCTCATCACAAGTTAGGAGCAAAGCTGAGCTGCTTGCAGGGTTTTCTGAGCCAAAGCATCAGGTGATGTGACATCCATGGGAGCATCTGGGAAAGCAGAGCTGCCAGCCTGTTGCTAGAAGGATTGCAGTTATGCTTTCTGCATGACAGAAGATGTCGAATGGAGAGCCTCAAACTGTGACCGACTGACACACAGGCACCTTTTGGGGGGGAGGACCATCAATCTTATTGGCCATATCTCCCACTCATACTGTAATTACTTTTTTCATCTTTGGAGGGGGAAGGCTATGAAATATAACATAAATCTCTCATACCTAAAAAAAAGTTTGTCCTTCAAATATCAGTAACCTAATTTAAAAAGTGTGAATAGACTTGTATAACACACACACGCACATGCACACACACAGTTACAGTGTTTGCTCCCCAAACACACGGCTATGGAGCCAAGAATGTCTGTAGTTAGGAACAACCATAAAACTCCACCCAGGGGGAATTGGACCATGGAATTAGGCTTGAATTAAGCATGGAAGAAAGAACAAACTTCCCTTTCTGTTCTCTCAACTTCCTATCAATGTGCGCTGCAAAGGAGAGAAGTGATATGCTTTCTCTATGAGACTGATCAGAAATATGTAATGTGTCACTAATAAGAGATCTTCCCCAGAACATCTGTACATGAATGGAGACAAGTCAAAGGCATAGATCTCTAAAAATGGAGTTGGAAGCATCAGAGAGCACACCTAATACCGTACAAATACCAAGGCACAGAAAGTGAAATAGCCATCTGCCTAGCTAGGCACTTAAGGCTGAACTGTTTTGGTCAGAATGCCATAGAAGAAAATGTGATCCGCAGTGGGTAAAGATAAAAAGCAATTTATTTAGCGTGTATATAGCACAAACTACCAGCTTGTAAGTGCTCTCCATATACTCATTTTATTCTCATAACAACCCTACAAGCTAAGTAATAACATTATCTCCTTTATACAGGTAGGGAAAAAGAAAGAGGCCCAGAAAGGTCAAGTAGCCCACCCATGTTCACACAGCTAATCAATTCAAACACAAAGTTTCAGGGAGAGACATAGTAGCATTGATTAGACCTGCTAATTCATGCTATCTTTTAGTTAAAATTTTAATTCTAATTATTATGGGTACATAATAGTTGTATATATTTATGGGGGTACATGTGACATTTTGATACAGGTATACAATGTGTAATGATCAAATCAGGGTAATTGGGGTATCCTCAATTACCTCAAGCATTTAACATATCTTTACGTTAGGTACCCATGATATCTTTATGGAAAATATTTCTCTAGATTATTATGAATTAGTGATTGATTATTAGAGGAGATCTGGGAATAGGATAGTGAGTGATCTGCCCTAACTCAAGTGCTTGTACATTCAACCCTTGGTTATTTTGGCCATTTGCCTGCTCTGAATTATACAAAGCAGCTTTTCATCCCTGGCCAGTGTTAGCAGATTTTACCTTCCATTCTGATGTGTCACGTTTAGGGAATCCAAATTCATTTTTCAATTTGTTTAGGCAAGCAGACTAGAGGAGACGTAGAGAAACAGCTTAGTGAGCTAATGCAAAACTAGGGGAGCATGGGAGGACAGGCAATTTGGTACACTAGAAAGAGCAATGACCTTGGAGCCAAATGGATCCAGATCCTAGCTCATTTTGAGATTTTTCATGATTTATTTAACCTCCCCGAAACTCAGTTTTCTCATCTGTAAAATGGCAATAGTCATCTTGTTGGGCTGTTGCGAGGTTTGAGATAATATATTAATATTCAGCACACAGGTGCAATGAAACTGAGGTGTTTGAGGTCATACTGCTAGTAAGAGGCAGAGCCAGAATTGGTAGGATGTAAACCTATGCCTACGTGCAGTTAAGGCCCATGCTTGCTCCACTATTCCGCAGTGCCAACAAGGACTCTGGCCTTTAGGAGCATGAGCCACAACGGCACCACATGTGACCAGAGTCAAACTTCCAACCCAGAGGGACCTTGTGTTATTCCTTGGCACCTGGTCATTCTCCTGAAGGGTAAGAGATGGAGGCACCTCACCCATCTCACTCTTCCCTCTTGGTTTGGCTCTTCAGAGTGAGGGGCTTCACCTCAGAAGGATGAATCTTCCCTGGCACATATTTTTCTTATGGACTGGGGCTTCACCCTGCTAAACGAAGCAGAACCTAACTTAAAATGAAAAGGGAGAGGGAAATCATGTGCATTTGTTTAACAAATTGAGCAACTGAATCAATTTAGAGTAGGTTTAAAGGAGGTCAGGGCTCCAGCTTCCATTCTCATATAAGCCCTGAACAGAAAAACCACTTATGCCATAGGTTGTGCCAGAACCCATTTTATAGCCATTTTTAATTTTAGAGACAGGGTCTCCCTCTGTTGCCCAGGCTGGAGTACAGCTGCATGATCATAGCTCACTGCAGCCTGGAACTCCTGGGCTCAAGCAGTCATCCTACCTCAGCCTCGCAAGTAGCTATGACTCCTCAGCTTGCAGGTATCATGTGCCATCATGCCCAGCAAACTTTTTTATTAATTTTGTGTGTGTGTGTGGAGACAGCAGTCTTGCTATGTTGCCCAGGCTGGTCTTAAACTCCTGGCCTCTATGAGTCATCCTGCCTAGGCCTCCCAAAAGTGCTGGGATTACAGGTGTGAGCCACCATGCCCAGCCTATTCTTAATTCTTCATTCTCCTTTTCTCTCCTAAAAATCGCGGGTTATCCCACAGACTACTCTATTGCTTTCCATATAGCCCAAGCCTGATCTTTGTTCCCACTCCACCACCAAGGGCATCCGTGGCAAGTTACTTAACTTCACTAAGCCTCAGTTTCCTTGTTGTTAGGGTTGCTTTGAGGATCAGTGAGGTAATCTGCTTAGCATGGTGCCTGGCATATGGTAAGTAAGCACTCAGTAAATATTAGACATTATTATTAGTAGTAGTATTTAACCACTTCTACTTCTGTGTGACCAGTTTGAATCTTTACAGCCACTAGTTCTTTGCAAATCCTTTTCGGAAAGCGTACTTTCTGCCAGTGTCATGATGGTTATCTCACAGTTAGGGCTCTTAGCAACTAAACTGATCTAATTTACGTTTGATGACTTTGATTTAAAGTCCCAAAAGAACCATGTCAGTAAACAGATTTCTGCCTAAACTTTGAGCTCAGATCTCCTCCTCTGTGAATCAACCTTCAACGATAATTTTTGATTCTGCAGCATTAACAGACCCTCCCTACATTTGTTGCACAAATTTGTTAATAAATGATTATTGTTTTGTTGGTTCATTTATGTATATCTTATCATTAAGGCATTCCATTTTTAAACCCAGTTTTAACTATCTGCAGCATTCCAGGAATCGCGCTCTTTAATTAGATTATAAATTCTTCAGGGGGAAGAGTCGGTCTCTCATTTCTTTGACTCTTCCAAAAGTCCAGCACAGTTCTTGGCACACTGGAGGGTACCTCACAGTTCTACGCAATTACTGTGTCCTTGAAAAATGAATGAAATAAACTTTTGGGGACAGTACATTTTCTATTAGGTAGTTGGGCTGGCTACTGAGTAAAATCTATTATGAATCGCCTCGCGAAGTGAAGGGTTCTTCTGTAAAGGGGAGGATCCTCCAGTCTTCGTGTATGTGTGAACTCGGAATTTCATAGACAGCCCTGTCTCACTATCGGTTTGGCACTTCGCCTTCCTAGGCCACAGGACGTCGAACCGCAGGCGACAGCCGCCTCCCGCGAGGGGGCGCCCGACTTCCCTCGGCGCTTCCACCCATACTACGCGGCCTCCGTCAGGCAGTGGGCGGAAATTTCCTTGCTGTCGCGCGTGACGTCACCGGAGGGCGAGGTCTGCAAGAGGGGGTGGGGCCTTCCCCTGCAGCGAGGGGCGGGGCCATCCCAACGCCGCTTTTGCGGCCGAAGTAGGTTGGGAGTGGAAGGTAGTGGCTGCTGTTCCGCAGTGTCGGGAAGATGGCGCCGCCAGTGGCAGAGAGGGGGCTAAAGAGCGTCGTGTGGCAGAGTGAGTGCGGTGGGGCAGGGGTTGAGAGAGGGAAGGCCGGGAGGCTGCCGTGCCGGGTCTCGTTTTGCAGCCCCAACCCAGCGGTCTGTTGAGTCGCCGCCGCGAGCACTTGTTGCTTTGGCATCTGTGTGAGGACTTCTTCCTGCTTTCCTGCCCTGCCCTGTTCCTTGCCAGCACCAGGGATGGGCGGGGTGCGACGGGACGCGGCCTTCTAGTTGGCGTCGGGCACCCACTCGCCTCGGCCGCGCTCCTGGCCGCGAAGCTCCGCCCGGGGTGAGCTGCCCTGGCCCGGCTTTCCCTCCCGCGGGGCCCGCGCCTGTCCTCGGCCGCACTCTCTACTCATCTCTGCTCTTGTCCGCTCTCCACCAGTTGGGGATGTCTCTCCATCCGAGACAATTCGAGCGCTGTTTATTCCGCCCCCATCTCCACCCCACACTGGAGTTTGCAAGGACTGTTTATTCTGCTTATTCGTGTTAGTATCAACCCGTGCTTTTCAAAAAAAAAAAAAACCCTCACTGTTTAACAGACTCCTCTTTCCCTATTCCGAGAGGAACCTACTTTCTGAAAAGTTCTTGAGAAGGGACCATTGGAATGACCGGGTGTCCAGCCGTGACATCTTCCTGCATAGCCCGGGCTGGAGCCGCCGCTCCTTCCGTTTTCCCTACACTCTCGGGGGCCCCCTCCCTGCTGTTAGGACCGGACTTCTTATTGGTTACTGATGTTCTGCGGTGTCATCCACAACTTTCATAAACATCGCTCCAAACCTAGGTCTGGCAGGTTAAAGAATGAAACCACCTAACAGGAATAACCATCATTGTCTGGCATTTCTGAGTTCAAAATAATTATGGCCTAGTAGTGGAAAGGGTGTAGCATCTAAGTATTTCTTAGTCCAACTTGTTGAACAAAAAACAGAAATGATTTAGTCAGCAGAATTCTGGGAGTTCCTTGTCTAAAATTAAAAATCCAAATCAGTAACTGGGATAGTGCTTAACATATAGCAGGCACTAAGCAAATGTATAAATAGGTGAAAAATATGAAATTATCTTTTAAAAGATTAATTTTAAGGTTGGCGTTTGCTTTTTCAAGATTTACATGGCTGACGATTTGGGGATGTTTTAAAACAGTGGTATTTAAATACATTTATGTGAAAATGGGTAACAAATTGTGTTGTATAAATAATTTCCAGATATATGTTATTAACATCAGCATGTATGCATTTAAGCCAGTTCTTTACATATTGAATCATAAGCTTTTTCCCTTTTTCACGTTTTCCTTCTGATCCTCATATAGATAAAGACATTGTTTTTATTATCTGTCATTCTGTGACTTCCTTTTTTAAATCAACTGACATTGACTCAACATTTTTCGTGCTGCTTCACAATCTTCGTAATTAACATCTTAAAATTGCTTTTTAAATACCTTGAGGTGGCAAAAAATTTTGATAGCAGAGAAGAAAAGAAAAAATTATGGCCAGGTGCAGTGGCTCATGCCTGTAATCCCAGCACTTTCGGAGGCCAGGGCAAGATGATCGCCTGAGCTTAGGAGTTCAAGACCAGCCTGGGCAACATACTGAACCCTGTCTTAAAAAATAATAATAAAATTAGATTTTAAAAATGTTACATAAAAACAAAATTAATCTTCCTCCCAACCAGACCCGTAGCCTTCCTCTCCAGAGACACTCAGGTTTCTTATAAATCCTTCCACAAGTTTTTTAATGCAATTACAAGCATGCATAGAATCATATGTTTTTGTTTTACTCAATTATCTTTGTTTTATGTCTTTTTTCATTCTGGTTGCTTTCTCTTTTATTTTGTTGGGCAAAATTTTCTTTTTTTAATTTTTGGATATTTACACAGTCATTTATTTAAATCAGTGTTAATATATTGAGTATGTACTCTGTTCTTTGATTTCCTAGAATTGACAATTGAGTGGGAGAAGACAGGTGCACAAGTACTTAAGGACTGCTGTATTAGCAGTATGAAATTTTGGAAGAAGGAATTATTTCCTCTATGGGAGGAGGTCAGGGAAGGCTCAAGAGGAAGTGACATATAAGATGTTTCTTGAAAGGTAGTAGGATTTTGACAGGCAGAGGGAAATCTGTGTCAAACCCCAAAGGTGACAAAGTAAGTGGTTGATCATGGAAGAGGGAACAATTCCTTTTGATCGAGTACAGAGTATTCATTGCAAGGGATAGGGGGACATAGACCAAAAAGTAGTTTGGAGCCAGATTATGAAGGGCCTGGTTGCTGTATTATTTAGACATTCTGTAGGCAGTGGGAAACCATTAAAAATGGTATTTTCTCCTCCTTTTTCAAAGAGCAGTCACTAGCATTTTTGGCATTCTATTAAACAGTGCTGAGAGAAAGTGATTTTCTTGTTCCTATTTTGAAGATAAATTACTCTAAGATTTAATTAAGTGTAATGTTAGCGTGAAGTGCACTAATGATAAGTGCACAGCTGGATGAGTTTTTTACCCATGAAACTACCATCCAGATCACGATAAAAGAATGTTTCCAAGCACCCTATGGCCTTTCCCAGTTCAAGCTCTACCCTCTCTCCTAGAGTAACCAGTATTCTGACTTATATCACCACCAAATAATTTTATAATGGTGCCTTTTTACCCTTACACTATTATGTTTACAAGAAATCCTCCATGCCCTTTGTTGTAGTGTTTTCTTCAATAATAAATATTGAATTGTGTGCACCTGTAGTCCCAACTCCTTGGGAGACTGAGGTAGGAGGATCGCTTGAACCCGGGAGGTGGAGGTTGCAGTGAGCCGAGATTGCACCACTGCGCTCCAGCCTGGGCCACAGAGACCCTGTCTCAAAAAACAATATAAGAATAAATCTTCAATTTACTACATTTCTACCTAGAAATAATTGCTTTAGTATTTACTTTTGTATATATTTAGTTGGTTATATAGTAGTCCTTAGTTTTTTGTGTATGTGTTTTTTGTTTTGTTTGTTTTTGAGACAGAGTCTCGCTCTGTTGCCAGGCTGGAGTGCAATGCCGCGATCTCTGCTCACTGCAACCACCGCCTCCCAGGATCAAGTGATTCTCCTCCCTCAGCCTCCCGAGTAGCTGAGATTACGGGCATGTGCCACCATGCCCAGCAAATTTTTGTATTTTTAGTAGAGATGAGGTTTCACTATGTTGGCCAGGGTGGTCTCGATCTCTTGACCTCGTGATCCACCAGCTTCAGCCTCCCAAAGTGCTGGGATTACAGGCGTGAGCCACCGCGCCTGGCCAGTCCTTAGTTTTTATATATTCTGCTTTCATACAATTTTTGATCATTGTATCTTGAAAGCCCCTGGGTGGTCTTTCCCATTCACAGTTCAGTCTGTTTTTGTTCAGCTGACTTGTGATGATTAACTTGTGATGATTATTGCTTTGGTTTCCTGCCCCAGGTCCCTGGGTTTGCTTTTATAAAGATTCTTGCCTGTTCACTGAATAATCTGGGCCAGGGGCAGAATCTGTTGGAATCATAATTAGGAATTTAATAACATGTTTTAGTTTTCTTTTTTTTTTTTTTTTTTTTTTTTGAGACAGAGTCTCTCTCTGTCGCCAGGCTGGAGTGCAGTGGCGTGGTGTAGGCTCACTGCAACTTCTTCTTCCTTGGTTCAAGCAATTCTCCTGCCTCAGCCTCCCCAGTAGCTGGGATTACAGGCACGTGCTACCACGCCCAGCTAAGTTTTGTATTTTTAGTAGAGATGGGGTTTCACCGTGTTGGCCAGGATGGCCTTGATCTCCTGACTTCATGATCCGCCCACCTTGGCCTCCCAAAATGCGGGCGTTACAGGCATGAGCCACTGCATGTGGCCTTTTTTTTTTTTTTCTTTTTTTGAGGTGGAGTCTCACTCTGTTGCCCAGGCTGGAGTGCAATGGCTTGATCTCTGCTCGCTGCAACCGCTGCCTCCTGGGTTCAAGTGATTCTCCTGCCTCAGCTTCCCAAGTAGCTGGGACTACAGGTGAGCGCCACCACACTTGGCTAATTTTTGTATTCTTAGTAGAGACGGGGTTTCACCATGTTGGTCAGGCTGGTCTCGAACTCCTGACCTCATGATCTGCCCGCCTCGGCCTCCCAAAATGCTGGGATTACAGGCGTGAGCCACCGTGCCCAGCCATGTTTTAGTTTTCTGAGAATATAATTTCCCTTATGGCCTACAAGTCTGATTTTTTTACTTTTACTATTTGATTTTCAAAAACATTGTTATGATACACTATTTATAGAAGCTTGGTTTATTATTTCTCCATACTGAAATAATCATTGTAAGACTTGGTTTCTAGTCCAGGTTATACTTCTGTTTCCTAACTTAAACCATGAGGGGTTTGGACTACATTTTCTTCAACATGTTTTTTTCAGCTTGAATTCTCCGTGATTCCATTTTTTAGATCTTCACTTTGTTATATTTTCTTTATTTCTGCTTGCATTCCTGATAGTTTTCTCTGATGCCATAGTTTTCTTTTATGTTGTTTTGTTTGGGACATAAATATTTGCTATTAGATTTTCATTTAAGGCTTTTTGCCTGACATCTTTTTTTTTTTTTTTAATTGTGCTTTCTTGCTCCTCTTTTATATACTTAGGCATGATCTTAGTCCATCTCCAGCAAATTTTAAAAATCATATATATTAAAGATCTAAAATATAAAAAATAAGGCAATAAAATGTGGAGCAAATATAGGATAGTATGGGTTAGACTTTTAAAAAGTAACTGGTAACTCAGATGCCATAGAAAAGATTATATAAAAATTGTAAGCCAGGTACCGTGGCTCATGCCTGTAATCCTAGCACTTTGAGAGTCCAAGGTGGGATGATCCCTTGAGCCCTGGAGTTCGAGACCAACCTGGGCAACAAAGTGAGACCCCATCTATACAAAAAATTTTTAAATTAACCATGTTTGGTGAC